GGTGATGAATATCTCTCCAAGGGTTGAAGGGGTTCTTATACATGAGAACATAATTATTGACTGTCATTTTTAAGTTTCTTCAGAAAAAGGATGGTGAAGACCATTTCAGTGACTGAAATATTTCTTACCCCATATTACATGGGATATTATTATATTCATTGTAGTTAAAAGACTGCAGTAGAAAGAATATTTTTCTATGGCTGAACATTAAAATTTTGCCTTAACTAAATGCCTGTGAACAAAATAAAACACTCTGAAACTTTTCTCAAGTCAGTGCTCATGAACATTGGGCCGATGTATTCCTAATTAACTGGCCAAAACTCTTTATAATCTATTGCTTTGTTTTTTTGCTTTATTTTAGTGACAAACAAATGCAGATACAGAGCATCTTTTCTATGGTATAACTTGTGACCCCCTGGAATATCTGGGTGACTGTTGAGCAGAGCAGTCTAGCAAAGGAGCAAGTGTCATCTGGCACTTAGTGCAGTAAAATGGTTGTGAGGCTTCCCCTACCAAGTATACCTTGGGAAAAGAAAAAAAAACCCAACACATTCCCCCCCCCACTTCCTTCTTTCTTTTCTGGGTTAAAGTATGCTTTGCTGCTCTCTGCTATGATCTCCATGCTTGAGGAGGGTGTGTGTGAGAAGAGAGGGCTGTTTCCTGCTGCCTTAAAGGGAAGTTCTTGGATGGAATGACAGTTCCAGCATCCTGTCTGCACAGGAGGCTATTAACATGATTGTTCTTGTGTGCTTCATAATTCTGATCAGCCCCAGGACTGAGCTGCAGGAATCCCAAAGTCACACCTGACTGTCAGCCTCCATCTGCTACTTCAGCATGGCATGAACTGCTCCAAGAGAGCAAACAGTTGTAATCTGGTGCCTCCTTTAGATGACAAATGAGTGAAAGCCTCTGGGACCCAGAGGGTTTGATGCTGCAGGCATTCATCCCACCTGTAGGACTGACTGGCTGTGCATGCAGCACTTCTAAATGTGGCCTGCCTTTCCTACACTCTGTTATATTCTTTTTGTTTCATGCAGAAATGGGTACAGTTTTCCTTCCCCTCCTTTCTTCTGTTTTCCTGGTGTTGCTTGTGTTGCAAAACAGTGCATGGCAGAGGTGTTCCAGGCAGAGCCTAAATTCCCAAGACCAACTGGTCAGGTTCAAGCCTGTTGTAGACTGGAAGGGAGGATTCAGTATAAAATCATGTCAGTTTGGGGATGCAGGTAATCAAGAACTGTCAGTCCATTAATAATTTTCAAAAATTGTGGTAAGCAGAAACGCGTTGTCATCCTAAACAAGCAAAAAAATCTCAAAAATAATAAAAACTAAAATGCTTTTTCTTTCTGTAAAATTTTGTGATCCAGAAAATAGTGGTGTTATGGAGGAAACTGTTTTAAAAAAATTTTTAGAAATTAGCATGGATGTGTCTTAAGTCATACCACTGGACACTACCCCTCTGGTTTCACTGAAATTAGTGATTTAGGTGGGCAGGTTCTCCCTGTCAGAGGGTTGCTTTTTAATGCTCATTTGTAGTTTTGCAGCAACAAAAAGCATGTGGTGTCCATGCTTTACAATTATTTAAAACAATGAAAGCAAGTTAAAAAAAATGAGTAATTTACCCTTTTCACCACACAATAGCTCTCATTGTCGCTAGAAACAGTCACTGTGTTTTGGCTTTTGCCTCAATATCCATCCCCTGGTGCTCCGAAAGGCAAACAAAGCAAAGTGGGACTCACAGTGTGTCGGTGCAAATCTGTGAATCATGGCTGGGATGAGTGTGGGTTTGCTCCTCTCCATCCTCTCTGCCACCTTGTGTGGGTGGCCAGTTTGCTGAAGCACAGGAGTGCCATGAGATCCTAAAGAAACAGAACTGACTCTTTCTGAGGTTATCCAGATATGTTGACTTAGTAGTGACACCTCTGGCTCTGAGGGTCCCTTCACACTGGCAGGCAGCTCAGCCATCCCTACTGGGACACGTGGCACAAAGGTGGGTGGGACAGCTGAGGCTTCCTGCTCGTTCCTTCTTGGTGATACCCACACCAAGATGTGTTCTATATCCACACAGTATCTCAAGGGGTTTCCTCAAAAACCAAAAACCTGTCAAAAGTCAGCACTGAATTTGCAATGAGCTTGTCAACAGCAGAAAACCAGTGGCACCCAGTATCTGTAGCCACACTCAGGCCAGGGGCCTGGTATGTGAGAAACAGGGTCAAGGAAGAGTGTGTGCCCAGTGGGAGCAAGGTCGGGTGACATGGGAAAAATACAGAGATGCTGCTTGCCACTGTAGGGAGAAAATTCATGCAGCAAAAGCTCGCCTGGAGTTGAAGCTGGCCAGAATTGCAGGGAACAATGAAAAGGAGTTTTATCAAATACCTTAATGGAAATAGGCAGTGTAAAAATAACATCAACCTCTTTCATGATGGGGATGGTCACCTCACAAACAGAGACGGGGACAAGGCAGAGGTGTTTAATGCATTCTTTGCCTCTGTCTTCAACATGGCTGATGGACCAAGGGAGTCTCAGTGCCCTGAGCTTGGAGGATCTTGGCTGTGAGAATGATCAATTCCCAGCTGACCCTGAAATTGTGCAGAGTCTGCTGCTCCAGCTGGATCCCTACAAATCTGTGAGGTTTAATGGGTTTCGTCCAAGAATCCTCAAAGAGCTGGCTGATGTCATTGCAAACCCTCTCTCAATGATTTTTGAGTGGTCTTGGGAATCCAGAGAGGTCTCACCTGACTGGAAGCTGGTGAATGTTGTCCTGATTTTCAAGAAAGGAAAGAAGGAGGACCCCAGAAGCTACAGGCTTGTCAGTCTCACTTCAGTGCCTGGTGAAGTTACTGAGAAGATGATTCCAGGAGGCACTGAAAAACAGCTGAACACCTGGGGCAGCTCTGGATGTACAGACTGGGGAAGGAAATGCTGGAAGGCAGTGCCATGGAAAGGGATCTGGGGATCCTGGCCAATGGCAAGTTGAACATGGGTGAGCAGTGCCCTGGCAGCCAGGAGGGACAATCCTGTCCGGGGGCATCAGGCACAGCATGGCCAGCCGGGCAAGGGAGGGGATTGTCCCCTCTGCTCTGCACTGGGGCAGCCTCACTTCGAATGCTGGGAGCAGTTTTGGGAGCCACAATATAAAAAAGATAAAAACTTGTAGGGAGTGTCCAAAGGAAGGTGATGAGGATGGTGAAGGGCCTTGAGGGGAAGCCTTGTGAGGAGCAGCTGAGGGCACTTGGTCTGTTCAGCCTGGAGGAGACTGAGGGGAGACCCCACTGCAGTTACAGCTTCCTTGTGAGGGGGAGAGGAGGGGCAGGCACTGATCTCTTCTCTCTGGTGACCCGTGACAGGACCTGAGAGAGCAGCCTGAAGCTGAATCAGGTGAGACTTAAGTTGGATATTAGGAAAAGGTTCTTCACCCAGAGAGTGGGTGGAACAGGCTGCCCAGGGCAGTGGTCACAGCACCAAGCCTGGCAGAGTCCAAGAAGCATTTGGACAATGCTCTCAGGCACATGGTGTGACTCTTGAGGATGGTCCTGTGCAGGGCCAGGAGTGGGACTCAATGATCCTTGTGGGTCCCTTCCAATGCAGAAGATTCTGTGATATACTGAAATGAGCACTTTCCTAATCTCTGAATCTTTTCCTGAAATATGGTGATTTGTGACATTCCTTAATGGCTTCAGTATGGTCTTGCACATTCAGTCCTGAGACTGGATAATGTCCATGCCAGAGTCATGAAGGATCTGCAGATACATAACATTCTTGTTCATCTAACCAGATATAGGTGGATACTAGGACTTGTGTGTGTTTGTTTGTTTGTTTGTTTGTCTTAAGCCTGTTCTTCCAAAAGTATTAAGGAGCAGTTAGGGTCTCTATTCCTCCTGTTCTGGTTGCCAGCAGCTCTGTTACCTCCTTATGGTAGGAGAGAGAGTGTGGTTGTTCTGGTGGGGGATGCTGCTGGGCCCTAAAGGGCAAGCTCTTGGTGCTCTTACTGAGGGTCCTGCCATGGAGCTCCATATTCCACAGCTGTGTGTGCTGCTCTGGTCAAAACTCTGGTTTTCCACTAAGAAAGCTGATCCTTTGTCTCCTGCTGCCCTCCACGTCCCTGTTCTGTCATGTCTTGCTGTCCCCAGTGGTTTCTGATGCCCCAGGCCTGTGGTGCACACAGTGATAGCAGTAGCAGGGCCCTGAGTGTGCTACAGGCAGTGCAGTAACTCATTACTCTACATATTCATGTTCTTCCCTTTTTTCTTTAAAACTGGGAATTTTCAAACAATAAGCTTTGGTTTAAAAACTAATTCAAATCACCATTGCTTAAGTGCTACAAAGAAACTTAGGGCAAAGTTATGTGATGATATCACGCCCTTCCCTGCTTAAAAACCCCAGCAGGACCCAAGAGTTCACTATTGTAGTGTGCATCAACCTTTACTCTGTTATCAGCAGTCTGCTGTTAGGGGAATTCATGCCTCATCCTTCCCCTTCCGAGAATGCAGAGAGCAAACCATCCCAAATCCATTACAGGTCAGGGTCTGAAACCACAGCCTCTGCTCCCCCCCTGAGAACCAGCTGAGTATTGTGGGGTGGCTGAATTAGTTTGATTTTGCCTGAGTAGGTGTAGTTGGTACTAACATCATGCCAGAACTTGACACTGAATGGCCCCAATTTTTTTCCTTCTGTTGTTATGAAATTGCTTTAATGTTTCAGTGGAGTATTTCCATAAACATCTTTGTTTTCCAGGTGTCTCTGACTATAAAAATCAGGGTTTGTTCATGTTCAGGTAGCATTAGATGAGCTGTTTCAGGGTAAGCAGTGCTAGTAGGTAAGTGTGGTGGTGGTGTGTACAAGTCAGCTTGTACTGAGTGAAGTTGGTGTAATGAGCTGAGCTCAGTTTTTTATGCATAACTCCTTACCTGGTACCAGCCCTGATCAGAAACCATTTCTCTAAATATCCTGATCACAGGGTTGTTATCATGTGTTCTATTCTGTTAATTTCTGTTTCTTTTCAGGGAAGGATCATGTTTGCAGATTTATTGGCTGTGGAAGAAATGAAAAGTTTAATTATGTGGTCATGCAGCTTCAGGTGAGTTCTGTCCTACGCCTCTCCTGTCTGTCTAATAGAGATGGCATCACTGGGAAGGATTTACACGGAGAGAATAAGGCCAAGCTCTGGTGTAAAGACTTGGTTGTACACAGAAAGAGGGTGGAATGGAAGACAGTGAGAAGGGCTGGTGTTGCCTGTTGATATCCCTTGGGATAGCTCCAGTCGTCAAGATGTGCTAAAATATTTCATAGCTCTGCTTTTCTGTTTAAGATGGCTTTCTGTCAGTTTTCTGGGAAAAGCACTCAATTCAGAATGCTCACAGGGGCAGCCCACAGCATCGTGCACCAGTGGCAGCTCTTTGAAATATATCCTGCTGAGCTGTGATGCAGCATTCAAAATATCTTGTATCAGAGCTCAGAGAGAGCCATGGTGTCACAGCAGCAGCACAGTTTCTCTGTGAAAGGCCGTGATCTCTGGCTCCTCTGTCTCTCCCAAGCTCAGCAGTAACTCAGCTTCTGCTGTGGAAGTGTTTACTCCTGTTTGAGCACTGCTGATATCAAGTCAATAAGGGCAAATACTTGGGTAGCTACCACATGGTGACTGCACTGCTAGGCAGTAGGTGAAGTAGAACAGGTACCAGCAGATCCCAGTACTTCTTTAAAATAAACTTCTGGTTCTTTTGTAGTTCTGCTTTGCAAGACAGTTGTATAAAATCAGTAAACTCCTGGTGCTTTGTTTTGCCTTTTATATACCGTTGGCATCCCAATTGCTGTTATGGATAGAAAAAATCCTTTAGCTTTCTAAACAACCCTGGCTACTGCTGCTGCTGCAGTGTGGGCATGAATATGATTCATGAAAGAGCTAGCCTGGAGCTCATAGAAGAACAAGGCTTCTACCCTCCCAATTTTGTCCTTACCAAGCCTGATAAAAGAGACTTTGTCTTGGAAAGAAATTTCTCTGCATGCATTCTCTTACTTTCTGGTTTGTTCTTGACTGTGTAACTGAGCTTGTAGAGTAGGCAGAGCCAAAAATAATTTCATTATTTGCAGATGAAGATGTTGATACGTAAGGCATTAGCTAGTTCTGCACCATCACTCTTCAGGCTAAAATTCTCCTTCAACTTCAAGACCTGCTGGGACATGGTTTATCATGTGTCCCTCTGACTGTTGTGTTCTGCAATTCTCCCTTTCCCTTCAGTCACCAGGTCTGAGGCTTCCACTCTCAAGCTTTGCAACTCATTTCATCTGCCCTGTTCCATAATCAGCCTGACAGTGTTTATTAGGAAAATAATGCTCATTTTGTGTCTTTTCCTGGCACTACTAGCAGCTGGAGAAACTTATAGCACATTTCAGCATGCAGCCCTGAAAAAAATGAGCCTTGCTTTCCATGTTACCATTGGATAAGCGAGCTGGTGTTTAAGGAGCAGCTTTCAGTGGAAAGCAGGATCTGCTGTCAGTTCAGTAACTTGGATGTTTCAGAACAGCAATGACAAAGCTGTGCTGCCTCCAGTAAAGTGTCACAGAAATTCAAGAATATAAGCACTAGAGAGGTGGTTTAGTTTGATTTTGTTCATGTTAAGGAGCAAACCTGGGTGGACTGCTGTGGCTTGGCTGTATCTATGAGCTGGTCTGTGTGAGGTGTGATTCTTCAAGGGTGCAGAGCCTTAAGTGAAACATGGCTCAAAACAATTTGAGAGATTTGTCATGTGCTACATGAACCAGCTGGCACCTTTATGTCTGTACATAACTTCAGAACTGGAAATAAGTGGATGAAGAGATGGCATTTGGAGAGCAATTTCTGTTTTCTTCTCAACTGTTTGGAATTTTTTATATATTTGCTGTTGGGAATTTTGCTTGAATTCATGTGGACTTGTATTATAAGCATATGTCTCCTATAGATGCTAGATGTCTTCTAGATTTGTCTTTACAGAAGCAGAATCAGGAAATTCTAAAGCATAGTAATGAACAGCATGTCCCTATAGCTTTTGTTCCTTGTGAATGTTCTCTGAAACAGCAGACTCTTGTTCCTAATGTTTTTAATGAGTTGGGAAATGGATTAGTTCTGTGGGTTACAAGAGCACTCTGCCATGGAATGCAATCATTTTAGTAGTTTCTCTTTACAAAGCTAAAGAGGTATAGACAAAACTGAGATGACAGACATCAAATAACACTGGGATTTTTTTTTTCTTGCATTTACTCTGTCCTTTTTTTCTTTTTCTTTCCTAAATTTTCTTGATTTTCATGCATAGGTGGTAGTCCTTTTGTTTTTTCTCAGAAATTTAATTAACTGGAGGTAAATTAGCAATTTGTTTTGATAAGTAATAAGTCAGTGGAAAAATCCTCCTCTCCTGATTTTGGGTATGATTTTATTGATAGACAACTTTCCCCATTGTGGTGTTGCCACAACAATGCTGGCTTGAGCTTGAACCAGACAGTGTGTGCTAGGAAGTTTCTGATGAAACTGCAGCATCATGACCTGCTGATCGAATTTGTACTGCTTTAATCTTTAGAAGGCTCAGAGAGCAGTCAGAGGTTGTGCTAAAATCAGCTTCTGTATGGTCTGAGTTTAACAGTAAGGAGATGCTGGTCTCTCCAGTGTGAGGCACTGCTGTCCATGCTGTGCTTAATGTACAAATAGTGACCAGCTGACTTCCCAGGATAGCAGTCTGATATCTGCTTATCAGCAAATGCATCACTTCAAAACTAAAATGAACTACTGGAAGATCTTGCACAAGAAATAAAGCAGACATGACATGAGCTCCTCTCTGAGTAGCATGTCTGCTTTTTGGGGTTGCATGTGAGAAGTCACAGCTGTGAAAGGCTCTGCTTTCCTGTGATGGTTTAAGTGTTCTATTGACTATTTCAGGGCCGAAATCTTGCAGATCTGAGAAGGAGTCAGCCTCGAGGGACTTTCACACTGAGCACAACGCTGCGACTGGGCAAACAGATTCTGGAATCAATAGAAGCCATTCACTCTGTGGGATTCCTGCATCGGGACATCAAGCCTGTATGTTGTTTTGGAAATTTTCCTTTTGGTTTTATGTCTGTCTGTTCTGCTTGAGTCAATAAAGACAGTCTGAGTATGGGCAGGTCTCAGCAGGTACATTTAGGCTTCCTTGCACACTCCCACTGTCTGACAGGTTTGGTATTTTCTATAGGTGCAGAATAGTGATATTGTATTGTCCTTCCTTTAAATGCATAGCAAACCAGCTTTTATTGGCAGAGGCTGCTCTGTGGTGAGTTTGGTTGCTGTCAGTCATACTTGCACCAGTCAAGATCCCATGATGAAGCAGTCTAGTTCTGAATGGTCCTTTGGAATCCAGCCAATTATAACTGTAAAAGTTGTTCAGAAAGGAAGTCTTGTTCTGTGGTGCATCACTTGAATAAATGTTAATTCATGTGTTTGACTTAGCTAAATCATGCTCTTAATCCTGTGTGAGTGATTGCCAAAAGAATTGGAGCAGTTTCCAGTGTCAGAACCATAGTCACATTGTTGGTCATCTGCCTAGGCAAGGCACAGTTATTCCAAGTCTCATTGTAGAAGCCAGTCTTCTTCCCACAGCTCTTCACTACTTGACCTGAACACTTGTTGCTCTGCCATACCTGTGACCAACTTGCTTCTAGTAAACGCATTTGCTGCTTTTAAAATCAGCTGCTTTTGGCTGTCTGGATTCAGCTGAAAACCAGTCACTGATGTGATTTGCTACAAATCCTTTAGCAGCCACCCATCGTGGTAAAGGATGGAACTTTAGGATTGAGGTTAAAAAAAGGAGCTGCTCTGTTTGCTTGTTATTGGTTTATTTAATAAGAACCAAGCCTGGTGTTTTCTATATGCCTCAATATTCAGATAGATCTAGGCAATGCAATGCAGTAAATGGAGATCCTGGGAGTTAAGGTAGAATAATTCATGCTAGCAGCTGAACCACGAACAGAAGCATTTGCCTACAAGAACTCCAGCCTGTTAAGCAAGTCATGGAGTTCTCACTGCAGAACTAGTGGTGTTAAATGTAGCTCTTTCTAAGAGCAGCAGAAATTTAGCTAACATAATGTGAATTTTAGCAGTTTTGAGACTCCTCAGTCTCTCATCTGCAAAGTGAACTTCCTATCAAGGCAGTGATTCTCTAATCATGATGTTTAAGGTGCATCTTAAATTCTAAATCTCTTTGACTTGTTTCCACCAGAGGCATGGGGAGCTGCATGATGAATTTTGCTAACAAATGGCCACTCTTACTCAAGCTGCTGGCATAAATTTGACTTTTCTTTCCTTCTTTGTCCAGTCCAACTTTGCCATGGGCCGGTTACCTTCAACATACAGGAAGTGCTACATGTTAGACTTTGGTCTGGCCCGCCAGTACACCAACACTACTGGGGAAGTTCGACCAGTAAGTACATTTCAAGCAGTATTTTTTCCATTTCTGCAACTGATTAGGAATGGAAAGGTTTTGTGGTTCTGTTTGTTTTGTTGTTGTGCGTGGTTGTTATATTGCACTGCATTTTCTGCAGGGTGAGAAGCAGCAAATGACTTCAGCTGCATTGTGGATCTAAGAAGGGATGGTAGATCTTGTCTTAAAAGATGTGTGGCTTTTTTTTCTCCTTTTATTTCCTTTAGGATAATAGTGTTTTCCACAGGCTTGCAATACTTACTGAGTACAATGTGGACTAACAAAGAGGGTGAGCCCAGTGCTGGCCATGTAACTTCTGTAGCCCCAGAGGACTGGTCTAGTTCAGTTCTCTGTGGTCTGGGGAAACGGGTTGATGTATTCTTAAAGCTTTTGATGAAAAAGTGTGCTAGAAGTTAAAAGCTGACCTGATCTCTGGGGCTGAGCTTACTGTGAGCTGCAGCCTGTAATGCTGTTCTCACCCTTCCTGACTTTGATTTTACGTCTACTGCCCCAACCCAGATTTCCTAGCAGGAATATTTCAGTGTGCCTTCCTGGAGTGGAGGTAAGGGCAGGGGGCATGACTTGTGCCATGTAATATGGGTTTTATCTTCAGTTCTTTTACCAGCATGGTGTTATCTGGGGTCACTCATAAGGATGTGTAGAGCTTCAGATATTCTGGGATCTGTGAGAGAATTCCTGGATTTATTTCAGAGCACAGTGCAAGCAGAGAGTGCTCATACAATATCTCTGCTTATCGTCCTAGGCTTGCAGCTTCAGATCTGCACACTTTTTCCACCTGCAAGATAATTGTTGTTCTGGAAAATGTTGGTACTGTGCTAGCTAAATACAGAGACTCTGTAGTGCAGGTGTGTTTGGGGAGTGAGAAGAAAGCAAAGGCCAGTGAGCAGATTTTGTGTCTTTAGCAGACGAATATAGCTGGGGAGATTTTATTTTCTTTTTTTAAAAATTCTTTCATAAGTCTTTTCAGTTTTCTTTTTCCCTGTAGTTGGAAGCTGCGCCAAAGGTTGTGCCTGCCTCTTATTCTTAGAAAGACACACATTACATACTATTGGACTTCTCTGTCAATGGTTTTTAGTTTGGGGATAACCCTTCTCCATATTGCCCTTCACAAAATATAGTCCCATTCCCTTCCTCTTTCTGCAGTCAGAGTTCACGTTTATTACAGCTTGAAACTGGCATTTGATTTTCAGAGTGCAGGACTCTGAAAAGGTTTGTCTTCATTCTGCTCAGTCTGGTGGTTCACTGCTTGCTTGCCACAGATGGGTCTCATAGAAGGATGAATGACATATGATCTGTTCCTGAAAAGATACATGCCATCCCCAGAGGGGTGGGAGTGTGCTTTCCTGAAAATGGTGAAAAGTCTCCATTTATTTGGGATATAGGAGGATCATACAGGGTGTAGTCTCATACACCTAATGTACCTATTCTCCCACGCCACACTTCAGGGGGTCAGGCTTTTTGACAAAAATTATATAGCAAAAAACCACATAAATATTCATTTCAGTGCCTTTTAACATTATGCAATAATCACTAAGCTCTTTGGTCCTTTTGTGTCCCTGCTGCCTGCTACCTCTTTGAGTCCCACTTACCAGAACAAAGCATTTGTCTGGAGAAGCACAGAGTGATTGCTGCCCAAGTAATGCACTGAGGATTAGGAAGGAGATGGAGGTGAAGGGTGGTATGAAGGCAAGAGAAATGAGGCATTTTGTGATGTTTTTGCATTTGGGTTTTTTTAATAAGAACTTTATCACTTCTTTCACTGAAGAGATTATTTCAACCCAGTAAGGTAAATTCTTTTTTCTCCGTTCTCTTTCCATTCATTTATCCATGGAGAATACATTTTTCCAGATTTATCTGAAAAATCCTGAGCCTAGTATTTCTGTGGTTTCGTTCTGATAGTAGGGGAAGAGGCTCACTCCCTTTTTTTGGAAACATGTCTGGATTTTGCTTTCAGTCATATTCAATTTTTTAACAGAAATTTTCTGCTCACATAGGTTCTCTGCAGTTTCCTACAGTTTCAGAAGCACTGTCATACTTTATGAATAATACCATAAAAATATCAGGTGTTTTCATATCCTCTGAAATTCAGAGTTACAATCTATTATCACCTTTTCAAAAAAACTCCAAATGACTTTCTAGTTATACAGATAATGAGCCAGGTCTTTAGGATGCTGTGGATTTGCTGGGTTTTGTTGGTTTTTTTTTAACTTACCTCTTGCCTCTTACTTTCTAGAGACTGATTAAAACTTTGAAGTGGGGTCATTTCAAGGGCTGTCCCAGCAGCTTTTATGTAGGGAGCTGTTACTCTCCTGAGCCTTTGATGAGTGTTATGGATTTGATCTCTATGTCTCTACAGAGGATGGCTACTTGACAGTTCAGCCTGATAGATCAGCATTTGTGAAGTTATGGCCCACTTGACGTAACTAAATCCAGATTTATTCTGAATCTGAATTTATCTTGTGCTTCTAGGAAAACAAAACTGATCTCCCTTGTATGGGATGCTAATATTAGCACAAATGCTAGTCCTTGGAGAAGAGCTATTGTGGCACAGATTTGTTTCATAGGAATGGTCTCACCCCTTTACAGCTTGCCCATTCCACATGTTACAAAGTCTGGTGGGCAACAGTCTGCAGGAATTTTCATTGCTCTATAAAGACAGAAGATGGTTGAGACCAGAAGGTGTGTGAAGAAGCATCAGCAACCTTTCTTCCCTCTGTTGACAATCAGGGAAGCTCAGCTGTTCTCAACAGTCTCATTATTTGATATTTCTTTGTGGGCTGTAGAAGTCAGGCTTTGATAGTTACTCCTTTGGATAGGCAGAGCAGATGTGCATTGGTCATGTAGCCATGTGGTGTCCATGGTTTGCTGGGAGCTGCTCAGGCCTGGCTGAAGGCTCTTACTTTGGCTACCAGCAGCATTTCAGGCATTTGCATCACAGGCAACATCCTGGCTAGCAAGGGGGGACTCTGGCTATTATGAAAAACAGGACAGACTGCTAGTGGACCAAAAAAAAAAAATAAAATAAAAAAAAAAAAATTAGTATTTTCAGTGTGTTTTGTTTTCAAACACTTTCAAGGACAAGTTTCTGAACAAGGAACAGCTTGCCAGGACTGCCAGAGGAGTTGCTGATTTCTTACTGCTCCTCCCTGCCTCTCTAAGCCACACTCTCTCCTGTTTGAAAGGTGGCAAATTCTGGTTAGGATCTGTCATCTGTATTCAGCAAGGTATGTTTGACCTGAATTTTTTAATGTCTCAAGGGTGTACTGTCAGTGATAAATTCACAAAGTATTCCTGGTTCATTCAGCTTGGTAACATCTTTTGGTGCTCAAGACTTATGCTTTCTGATGAAAGACAGAGAAAATATTACTTAGTCACAGTAAACAGGGCCTTCTGCAGGGCTCTGAGAATCCCAACATCCCTTTTCTAGGGAATATAGCTTAACTTTGTGCACAGCTATAAAGCTTAAATGAGAGACATTTCAATATGCCTGCTCCCATTCTGCCTGTGGCTTAAATACATGGTGTTTGTGGTATTCTGCTGTCAAATGAGGAACTCCTGTAGGAGAGGAAGCTTTTGAACCTGAGACTTCCAAACTCTGGGTGAGTGATCTCATGTTGGAGAGAAGAATCACACACAGATTCACAGAATGGGTAAAGTTGGAAGGGACCACAGTGAGGCATCTGATCCAGCCTTCCTGCTCAACCAAAGTAATCCCAGAGCACGTGGCACGGGATTGCATCCAGATGGTTCTTGACTATCCCCAGTGAGGGATACCCCACAGCCTCTCTGGCCAATCTGTCCCAGTGCTCGGGCACTGCACAGGGAAGTTCTTCCTCATGTTCAGGTGGAACCTCCTGAGCCTCAGCTCCTGCCCGTTGCCTCTTGTCCCAGTGCCCGCTGAGCAGAGCCTGGTCCGTGCTCCGGCCCCTCCCTGCAGGCACTGACAGACACTGATGAGGTTCCTCTCTGAGCAGGCCCCGCTCCCCCAGCCTCTCCTCAGAGCTGTCAGGCACTGACAGACACTGATGAGGTTCCTCTCTGAGCAGGCCCCGCTCCCCCAGCCTCTCCTCAGAGCTGTCAGGCACTGACAGACACTGATGAGGTTCCTCTCTGAGCAGGCCCCGCTCCCCCAGCCTCTCCTCAGAACTGAGGTGCTCCGGTCCCTCCATCATCTCTGTCACACTCTGCTGGACCCACTCCAGGAGATCCAGGTCTCTCTTGTCCTGAGGATCCCAGAACTCGGCACAGCACTCCAGACTGGCCTCACCAGGGCTGAGCAGAGGGGCAGGCTCACTTCTCTTGACCTGCTGGAAGTACTCTTCTTAATGCATCCCAGGATACCATTGGCCTTCTTGGCTACAAGGGCACTGCTGGTTCATGGACAGCTCATTGTCCACTGGGTTCCCCAGGAAACTGTGTTTCTCTTCAGTGTTGTCCTTCCCTTATCACTACAAACATCTGTTGTTTGTTTTTCTGGTCCTGCTCAGTGCTCACAAGAAAACTCCTGGATTGCTTCACTCTGCCATGTTGTCTCTGCAGTAGGTAGATGCAGGGCAGTAGATGTAGGAGGAATCCAAGCCCCATGTGAGTAATCCAAGCCTCATGTGAGTACCATGGTTTGCAATTGCAAGGCTTTCCTCAGGTTTTTAAAGAAGGTTTCATCTGTTTTTAAGTCAGTAGCAAGTGGTTACAACTAATTATGCTACCTGTACTGATCACTTACCCATCAATAGTGACTGTCCCATCCCCTCTTCCAAGGAAAGCTTCATACATTCAAGCCATTCCTGTGAAAATGCACCTCCTTGCCTTCCCAGTCCTTTTTTCCATTCATTGCAGCACTCAAGCCATGCAAGCAGTCCCACCAATTCTCTATAATCCCAGTGAGATCATAGATTTGCAGTGGCACATAGAGCACTAACTGCTCCTCTTTGTTACACACATGTAAGAGGTTTTCGACAGGCACTTGAGGTGGGCCCTCT